CCTAATGTTTATGCGAATGACCTTAGCAAAGAATATCAAGTCTACTATCCCTAAAACTGAGATTGCTAAGGAATATATGAAGTTTGTGGAAGACCGTTTCCAAACAGCTGACAAATCACTTGCTGGCACACTGATGGGTACCTTAACCACCATGAAATTTGATGGTTCTCGTACCATGCATGAGCATGTTACTGAAATGAGTAACATTGCAGCAAGACTTAAGACTCTTGGGTTGACTACGGATGAGAACTTTCTGGTACAATTTATCATCAACTCCTTTCCTCCTGAGTACGGTCCATTCCACATAAACTATAATACCTTGAAGGATAAATAGAATGTGAATGAATTGCACAGTATGCTCGTGCAAGAGGAGACAAGGCTTAAGAATCAAGGAACTCATTCTGTTCATCTCGTAAGTCATCAAGGAGCTGGAAAGAAATATAAGAAAAGGTCTGGAAAGGGCATTAAACGTGGACCACTAAAGATAAATGAGTCTTCTACCCAAATCTACAATAAAGATCACAAGAAAGATATGTGCCATTTCTGTCGCAAACTTGGGCATCATAAAAGGGATTGCCTGAAATGTAAGGCATGGTTCGAAAGTAAAGGTAAGATTATTTCTTATGTATGTTTTGAATCTAATTTGGCAGAAGTTCCTTATAATACTTGGTGGATTGATTCCGAATGTACCACTCATGTTACAAATACGATGCAGGGATTCTTTTCAATCCAAACCATAAATCCAAACAAGAGATCGAGTCAAAGCTCCAGTTGAAGCCATTGGAACCTATCGTTTGATTTTAGATACTGGACATCAATTAGATTTATTTCAAACACTTTATGTACCTTCTATTTCTTGCAATTTAGTTTTTTATTGAAACTTAATTCTATTGGATATTTATTTGATGGTGGAAATGGATGTTTAAATTTATTTAAACAAAATCATCTTATCGGTTCCGCTATTCTTTATGATGGTTTATATAAATTAAAGGTTGATAACCTCTTTGCCCAGACTCTTTTGACCTTGCATCATAATTTTGGTACTAAACGTGGTTTATTGAATGAACGATTTGCTAACTTGTGGCATAAACATTTGGGTCACATATCCAAGGAAATGATAGAAAGATTGGTAAAGCATGAAATCCTTTCTGACTTGGATTTTAGTGATCTTGGAACTCATGTAGATTGTGTTAAGGGTAAACAAACCAAACACACAATAAAAAGAGCCACAAGAAGCATACAACTTCTTGAGATAATACACACCGATATATGTGGGTCTTTTGATGTTCAATCATTTGGCGGAGAAAGTATTTTATCACCTTCATTGATGATTTTTCACGTTATGGTTATGTCTATATGCTACATGAAAAATCTCAAGCTGTAAATGCTTTAGAGATTTTTGTCAATGAAGTTGAACGGCAATTTGATAGAAAAGTATCAAATTGCCTTGTTTATTTAGCCATGAGGGCTTTGGTGTCATCTTCTTCACATGGCAGCTCTTTTTGTATTTAAAAATGAATGCTTGGAATTTTTATCTGGTGTAAAAGATGATTACTTACAAGAGATAGCAGATGAGAGAGTCTCTATTTTTTGCTATTAATCCTTTTATCAGCTTTCGAGGTTTTTCCATTTCAATGCTGATTAAAATGTTTCACAATATTTGTTCATTTTAATTTTATGGGACAACTCATCCATCATGTTAGCATGCATTGTGGGTTGATAATTATGAAAAGCTGTTCTCCCACATAAATTCCTTTGGGGTCATTTGTCGTCATTTGGCCTTGAATTTCCTAAACACATCAACATGATAGCTGTATATCCAAAGGAAATGGGATCCTTTGTAAGAAGGCTATATGTGTAGAGGAAAGAAATCAATGGTGTTGGCATTAATTCGAGTTTTGCTGTCCACCAAGTCGTGCATCTTTGAGTTTTTGGAAGATGGTGGTGGTTGTGGGTATACATGTGTGTAAGGATGGAGTGTGCACATTTGAGGTTCTTGATATATGAGATTTGGTGGTTTTTTGCGTTCATGTTTAGGATGTTGATGGCAGAGCTACAAACATTGTCCTTAGATAGTTAGTTGTCCTTGGTTCTCTTTTTTACTTTTGCCACTACTTTCGAGCAGGAGTAAAATAGTGATATTCTTGGGGAGAGAGGTAAGAGTGGTTTTTAATATAACTAATTTCTTTCCACTTTATGATGATAGCTGTACATGGTGCTGTAGAATATTGTTCAAAAGGTATACTGAAAATGGAATTTGTGAGGATCTTGCCTACAACACTGTGGATTGTATAACATGAATTATTTCTTTGACCGTATGAATAAAAGTTATTTTAGTAGCATAAGTTTTGAAGGTAGGTATCTACTCTTTTTATATTTTCGTTGTTGTATACTTTATTTTCCACTACTTTTTGTGCTTGATGTATCTCCTAATTCAATATTTATGTTGTTTATTGTGACATGGTATGCTAGTTGTCTACAATTCATTGACTGAAGATAGGAAAAGGACTTTGAGACTGTATATAGCAAATATCTTAGCAATTTGAAATCTGATGTTTGAGAATACGTCCTTGTGCCAAGCCAAATTATATAATATCCATCACATGAAGATGGGGATGGAGTTACACTAACAAAATCGATGGGGATGGAGTTAAAAAATCACTATATTCAGCACCAATATAAATAACATCAACTTTCTAATAATTCAATAATTAATTCTATAGACAAAGGATTATATTGAAAATAAAATTAAAAGTCTTGTGGGTGTGTTATTTGCCACATGAATTGATGTGTTATATTTGAGTGACGAATATTCATTTTCGTATTTGATAAAAATCAACTTGTTGAGGTTTGTATAATTTTAAAATAAATAAAATTTATATATGAATTTAAAATAAATGATAAAGTTTGTATACGTTAATTGAGGCTAATCATGTCATAGCTCTAAAGTGGATATGTTAGGTATTGGTTCCAAAATCATAATTGTTAGCCATCATCACAACAATAATTTGCATAGAAATTATAAGCTCAAAATCAATAATAGTAATAGTAATAGTAATAGTAGCAGTAGTAGTGTTATCATTACATCTTTCACAACTTATCATTTATTCGAGTGAATTATCTCTGATATAGCTACATCTTTTTTTACTAGAGAACTAAAAAGTTGCGTTCTAACATGATATGGTGTAGTCTAGCCCTTTGCACATGGATGATGAAACTTTTACCAATTACAAGCAATAGGTGGCATCGGTCCACTAGTATACTAATTCACCTACACAAAGTTACATGATTTTAGCTAATAAAAAATTTAAAAAAGTTAATAGATGTTTACTAAAACAAAATGACAGCCATTAATAGATGTTATTGCAGCAATCCTATGGGATGCGATTGCAAGTGGTTCATCCCAGAGTGGAAGAAATGTAAGACATTGTTGACTCAAATGAACAAGAATAACCTTATATCTTGAAGCAATAACATGACCCGTAGTTGGCATGGTCATCTAATACTCACGACTAGTAGACCAATCAAAATGAGAAAGTGAATGAATCAATTCATGGACCATATCAACAATGCCATAAAGTATAGAGTAATCATCAAAATGTTATTCAAGCTCTTTTAATAGGTCTTTTCTGACCAAAGGCCACTTCTCTTCATCTATACCTATAATATTAGTCACGGCTCAAAAATACAATTACCATCTGAGACCACATCCTTCACACCAACTATGAAAGGTCTCAAACGAAAGGAAATGAATCCAAATAAGCCATGGGCTTTGATCCACGTACTCTATACACCTTTTGCTTTTGCTGAATTGGAGGTTGGCTTGATAGTGTAGGCTAACTTAAAGACATAATGGAACTATCCAATTGTTGTAATATATTGTCTTGTCCAGATGGTACCAACTCAAAATATTATGGGTCTCGACGAGTGGATCTTAGTTTTGATTTGTGGCTCTACTAATGATGTAGAACATGGATTAGCAATCTCTTTCAATTTTTGTAGGATTTCTGCCTTCACATGATCATTATTATCTTGATAACATTTATGAATCATCTCAAATAATGATGTACAATTAATCTCAAATTTGTCTCATTTTTCAAGAGGAACTAGATCAAGTTTCTTCCAGTGAAAGTGTACTCCTGATAAAGAGATGGGTCGAGACTCTATCTTGTACTATGATATCTCATGGGCACATGGTAAGTTATGCATTTGTCATATAACACATCCACAAGCTACCTTGTCAATCACTATGTCATCAGCTCACTTGGACTCTTGAAGTGTCAAATTCATTGCAATTCATGGTGTAAATGCCCTTAACTCTTTAAACAAGGTAGGTTTGAAATTATGTTGGGTAGTACCCAAGCTCTTTTCAAAGAAAGCTTTAATATCAATATGCTTTAGCTCCAACGATGCATGAATTCTTATCCATGATGTGTCAAAATTGCCTTGAGAAGACCCTAAATGCCTCTTAAGCTTTAATATCTGTATGCTTTATTCATGTGAATTCAGCCCTACCACATGAATAAAATAAGAGTATAATAATAATATTGTGAATTCATAGAACTATAAATAAAATTCATGCATCTTTGTCTAATTAATTTAAATCATAATATAAGTAAATTTACCTGATAAATGTCGTGTTTCCAATGTGCATATGTAGATTAATCCAAGCTGCCACAAATTTCTCTTTATATTGAAGAAGCCGTGAATTCATGACATAATTGATTGCTTGTGGAAACCGTTGGAAATTAGATTCCAAGAGATTTAGATTTGCTTGTACTTTGCTATAGATGCTGATAGTACTACTAAATTCCACATATTCATGAAGGCATTCCATTGTCCTGGTCTTCAACTTTTTTTTTTTTTCGCCAACACTTCGAAATATACCTTCATAAAATATTAGTTGATTTTGGAATTATTTTTTTAATGGCCTCCATAATGGCTTAGCTCTCTATCAATAACAATAACATTAGGCATTATTATACCATCTATTAGATTCCTCAATCTCTCCAAGGCCCATGAATAATTTTGTTCACTTTCTTTTTCCATGTAATAGCACCCGAAAATGTCAAATCATTAGAAGTGACACCTACTATCTTCAAAAGTGGTAGGCAATACCTGTTTGTCTTATTTATGCAACCCATAATTATCACACAAGGAAAAGTCGGCAACAAATCTACTGAATATGGATGTGCCAAGGACAAATCTCTAATTATATTTGTCTCCTTATGGGAACAGTACCACTCTATGTACTTGTTCTCATCAAGCCTATTCATTAGTTTTTGCATTTGTGTCCTTCTTGCTTGTTCTTTGAGCTTAAACTTTTGATGTGCATTGTACTTGTGCCTCAATATGCTGACATTAGTGTCATAATTTTGTTTCATTATGTATAAGATATCCTTCAGTCTCATGTGATTCTTTGACATCTCTGTCAAAACTAAGGTCTCTTTCTCAGTTAGTCTTTTGGCGTATGAATGTCTTTCAAGGATCTGTGCAATGTCTTGATTATGCCTCCAATATTTCATTTTCAATACCCAATAATCATTATTATCAATTTTTTTTTTCCATTCAAAGCGAACCGACATCTACACTTTTTTGTTCTAGTAGCTCTATGTCTCTTCCCCTTTTCATTTTTGTTGTTGGTATTCTTACCCCTATATTAACCATATCTTTCACAAAAAAGTCCGAGTGTTTCATCACAACAATCAAGTTATGTCTCTTACTAGTGGTTTTAACCCAATCAACCAAGCCCTCATTAATTGGAAACATCTGTATGTCATCAAATATTTGTATATAAATATATGATAGTATTAAAAATAACAATATCATTACTTACAATATTTGTAGTAAAGATATTAGTATAATCAATAAATAATTCGTCCTGGACATTAGAGTTCTATGTTGATGTATCCTACATGAAAGCATTGAGCCAAAATTACAAGCATAATTACAGCCATAAACGTACGCAAACGAGCAATGATATTGATGTATAAGAAAGTAGAGCACGCATATAGAAAGTAACAACTACAAGAGATGGTTATCAAGAATCAGAGTGCAGATTTATAAAACTCCAATTCAGTAAGCATTAAATGCTAACAGTTTATCGTAGTTTCTGGGTGACCAACAAAAAGTTATGGTTTCAGACAAACAAGTTAATTGTGAAGGACAATTTGGAAGGAAAACAAAAAAAACATAGAACGATTAAAGGTGGTAAAGGAATACAAAGGACTATCAAAATGTGGAGAACAAGGCCTTGAAAGAGTTTCCAGATCTACTATGGCAGGAAGATTGACACTACCCGTCCCGAATCTCCTTAGTGGACTCGACATGTGTCGCGCGCTGATGGTAGATACTAGCTGAACGTCGGACCCACCACTAAGGCAACCTTCACTTATTTAACTGAAAAATATTTTTAACAAAATTTTGATAAAATTTTCCCTGAAATACAAACTAAAATTGCCTGAACAATAATCAATTTTCCTCAAATCTATACCTATAATATAAATCAGGGTATGCCAGTCCCAGAAAATACAAATTATTCAAATAAAATGCTGGAAAATCTAATTGCTTTACAAATAACAATCCTCAAATATACTAAAGATACCAAATATCAAATGAGCCCATAATGAACTTTTCTGATTTAAACTATATATATCCCAAAAGAACACATAATGTATAATCTGATAAAGGATGCCATACAACCTATGGCGAGTGGCTCAATTTGGTGGTTTGACAGGCTCCAAAGCTGCTCAATTCATCTGCTTTTTGTCTAATAAAGAAAAATGTGAAAAATATATGAGCTTAAAACTCAGTGAGTGGATAATTTGTGGATAAGTAAACTTTTCTCATTTATACATATTTTCTGAAAATTCTTGCACTACTAAAACTTCTAGAAATTCTGAAATCTGGTAACACTATTAAAATCAAACATGAATACATCATAAAATTCTTTGCTCTTCATTCTAGATAAGTGACTGTAAAATGTAATGAATATAAATAATATGACATTCATGGAAATCTATAAAATATTGCTGCTACTCAGTACTATAAGTTGAAAACTTTAATCTGAGAACTGAATAGACTGAATTATATAATCTGAAATCTGATAAGTTGTAGAAATACTAAAAATTACACAAAAGATACCCAATGAATAGCCTTACTTATGTACAGAGTAATCTCGATGTACAAGGCAGAGCCATTTAAATCTGATATTCTGATAATCTGGTAATCTGATAATCTGGTCATATGTACGCAGAGCTGCCCCAAACGCTAATCGCCCTAGTACACGGCTGAAAGCCTATGTGTGTACGAGAGTGGTCCCAAAGACATCTGATAATTTGATAATCTGGTCATACACTATGGAAACATATTCACAATAGTATAGAGCGGGTAAAATCACCATAATTAGTCACTGTGGAAATAAATTTACGCTAGTGCAGATTGAGGTAAAATCACCGGGTACTTTCTGGTGATATTTAGAAAAACTTTAGCTATATAAAACATGTAATACGAAGGGAACATGCTATTGAAATGATTTAATTGGACTGAATTTAACTTTAAAAACAACTTATTATAAATCCACTTTATTTTAAATATCATGCTGTCAAATCAATTGTATGAAAAAGAAAATTTTCTAATCTAACGTAAATTTAATAAATATTAATTTCTGAAAAATAAGTTTATATCCACTCATTGCTCTATGGATAAAAATCTGGCTAAATTAACCAGCATCTCCAAACTTCTACGTCATTACCTGAAATAACAGTATAATAACTCAAATTAAAATATGACAATTAAACTAATGCAAAGTCACCACCTAATTTCTCAACTTTCAAATTTTCTCTTGAATCTCCATTTCTCGATATTTGAATGAATTCTCCAAATTTTCTTCTCTCTAACGATTTATCAATTAATTACCATTCATTATCAAATTCATTAAATTACTTGCACTTCCTTAACATCACTACCTTATTCGTATGCATCCCCTATACCGAATTTAGTCAAATACATAAACTTCAATATTTGTCATATAACTTCATTCAAACCTTTAAAAATCTGAAAATAAGAACTTTGACAAAAACAGCACTAAAATCCCATAATATTAAAATCTGGTATCAAAACGTTTGACAGAAATAGCGCTATTCTGGCAGATTTTCAAAAACAGCGCATGAATAGGATTTTGTCCAAAAATTGCATATAATACTTGCTTAAAAATGGAGAAATCAACCCCAATTTCTTAATTTAAGTGATTAACACCATATAATCCCAATAAATCAAAGAATAAGTATATATTTCATAAACCCATTTTCTAAGTATCCCCCCTTTTCTTTTTCTTCCCCCCCTTCTAACAAACATCATATAATCCCAATAAATCAAAGAATAAGTATCTATTTCATAAACCCATTTTCTAAGTTCCCCCTTTTCTTTTTCTTTCTTATTTTTTTTTCCAACACCAATCATTCAATATATATTTCTTTGACCTCAAATACCTACTAATAACCTTTAATTCTTCCTAAATCTCGAATTTAAGGAATTTCCATGAACCCTAAAATCTAATATCATTCTTCAATAAGTAAAACTTATGCTTACCTTGAAAAATTGAGGACTTAGCTTTTTTTCCTTTTTTCCTTTTTTTTTTTCCCCCTTTTCCCTTCTTTTCTTCCTTTCCTTCCCCATTTTTCCTCCTTCCCAGCTTCTGCCTGAATTCTACTGTGTGTATGTATGTGTTTTTTAGTGTAAAATGGGTTTAATGGTAATAAAATAAGGGGCCACTACTTAAATTGCAAAGGGAGTCCCTCTTCTATAATATAATATAAAGTTAAATCTTAAACTTTCAAAATATATAAGTAGATACCAAAATTTTTATTTTGTCCAACTTAAACCTTCAAAAAATTTGTCATAATAAATTAAGTCCTAAATAAAATGATTTCTTTCATTTTAGTCTCTTTTGACTTTGACTTTGACAATTCAACTTTTGATTTTTGACTCATTAGAATGAGTTGTAACAAAGATAGTATTACTATGGCAAGAGACCTAATTAGCTTTCAATAGTTTTGTTTAGAAGCTTTGTTGGAGTAATTGCATATTGTAAGACAAGTTATTTTATATACTACTAACACTAAGGCCTAATTTTTCTCAACAAAAAAATCGACACAACAGGAAGACATTGTGTAACTATGAAAAATAACTGTCAAGTTTTAAGATATCTTGGAATCCAAGAAATATAGATAATATCTACTCAAGAAAAATAATGTAATTCGTGCTTTAGAATTTACCATCGTTGATCAACTCTAATTGAAGAGTAATGATAAATTCTCTCCTTATTCAGTAACTGAGTTAAATAAGCTTTGCTTTGAACTGATTTGACAGATTTGTAGTTGGGAAGATATTTCAAATGTATCATAGTAACTGTTATGGTGTGTTTGATTACATTTATTTTCCATGGAAAATATCAATTTTCCACCCAAATTCCTACGTGGAGTGTTTGATTGCTATTTTTTCCATGGAAAACATTTTCCAACTTTTGAAAATATGCCTAATTTTCCTTATTTTTAAGGAAAACATTTTCCTTGGGTAGAGGTGGTTTTTATTTTCCACAAAAGATGGAAAATATTTTCTTTTCTAGGTGATATTTTTCATGCCAATCAAACGCACTCTTAGTATTTACTACTGGCTTACTTTAACGAAAACTCGGACCATAGTCCTTTGAATTCCTTCTTCCAACTCCAAAAACCATGCGTACATAGCCAAAGAAAGTTTCTATAAGCCTAGAATCAATTGCCAGTAAAATCCTCGAAGAAAGACGAATTCCCTGTTCTACGGTGGTTCCTATCCCTGATGACTTTAATCCACATATTGAATAAAAAACAATAAAACATAATTCGTACCTTTTCAAATTCTTCTTCATATATTGATGTTCTACGTATTTCCTCTAACGGTATCTCTTCCATTATTGTTTTAATTTCAGTTGAAGGAGATATTTTATGATTATTAGGATTTTGTGATTTTAGTTGAAGCGAATATTTTATGATTATTAGAAGTTTAGCTAAACAAAATTCTAAAATAAAATAAAAAGGTTCAAAAGAATTTAAGAGAAAAGATATGAGTGGATCAATTAAGAACGATATATTTTTATTTAATTTTATAAATGTCTATTTAGGTAAATTTACATAAGATCAAAAATATAATATAATTATCTTTTTGAAAATAGATGTATATATAAAAACTGTGAATGCAAATAATGCTACCCATATAATGCAATCAAGTGAAGATCTCCCAAATTCATTTCTCAAGTTGAATAACCTTCAAAATATGGTGAAAGTTCCAACAATTCAGTTTGTTGAGAAATTAATCATAGTTGGATCAAATTGAATGGCAACAACGAAATCGACAATTCAGTTTATTTAATTTTTTTTATCTAATTTTTGTATTTAGTTGCATTATTTCTTAATGTAAGGGAAGTAGTGCTTCCTTATTTACCGTTTTCAATATTTTCACATGTAACCATGGTATTCCTCCACCACAAGTGAGGACATATTAATAAAATCTCGGAGGTTCCACCCTCCTTTAGCTAAAAAAATAAAATAAAATTAAATAGAATAAAAAAACAATGAAATCAACAATGAATGTTTTGCTTGATAAAAGATTTGGTTGAGCATATGACATGAATCGCTCTTTTGGATCATTTGTTTACATTAAAATGAGGCAACACGCAGATCATTTGTTTACAAATCTAATACTAACTATCCTCGTCCATCATAAATATTTCCTTAAATTTGATTTGTACCTTAATATAATTCTAATCGTTAAAATCCTTTCTTGATTGTTCGCATCGAGTACACAAGTTTGTGATATTATAGTTCTTTATTTGATTTCGTATTTAATTGTTATCTCCCTACTACAACAGATTTGCTAAGAATCTTGTTGGTTGCCAATATTTTTGTTTCGTGGTGGTGCTTACTGTAAAATATTTGCCCTAAGAAACTGATGGACAAGTTTCTGTGTATGCCTGGAAATGTTTAGGAATTGAAAAATTTCCTCATGCATGCAATTAGTTTGCTATATCTAACAATGAATCAAATTGTGTCATAGAAAACGATTCATGTAACTAACTGTGTAGAGAAACTAGTTTAAAGCTTGCTTGCCTAGGTTTAAGTAGTCTACTTATAAGTAAATAAAAAATTTTAATCTTTTTTGGCTCAAAGTAGAAATAAATAAAGTATTTATTTTGACAATAAAGTATCAAATACTTTAAAAGATATAAATTCTACACTTAGGTAAATTATCAAAAAAATTTACTTTAAAAGTAACTTTATATTGTTAAAGCTTATCGAACCATAATCAGTGTGATTGTGAAATCCACTATACATTTAGGGGACAAAGGATTTGATGGAAGGAAATTATTGATCACAAGATAGAATCCATTCTTTTGACGAGTCCCAAACGACCAAAAACTAATGAATGTTTGTTGAGGGTTTTGGAGAAGAGAGAGAAAATGACATTTTTATTGTTCTAACCTCTGTTCTATAAGGGACATTTTTTGTAGGTTTACATCAAACATTGGCTAAATTAACAATTTCTTTAAATTTCGGCTATTTTAAAAATTAGAAATTCAAATGTGGACATCCTTAACAATTTCTCTTTATTTTATGATTATATAAAGAGGGAAAAAAAAAAAACTTGTATCATAAACTGGATCTTCAAATTTTTTATTTAGTTGAGTTATTCATTTATTAACTAAAGAAATCGAAACTTTAACTGTATTCTTTATATTTTATTTGTTATTTGATAAAGAAAATATACACATAATATGAATTAATTTTCTACAAGTATTTTTTGTGCTAAATAAAAATTTCATAAGATTGGTTGAATGTTATTCTGTGTTTTGCTTCTCTCTCTCTCTCTAACTTTGGAGAATATGGTTGTCCAAATTTCTATTCTGTTTATTTCTCTCTCTCTCTCCATCTCTAGAGAATATAGCTCTCCCTATTTCTAATTTATTCTCTCTCTCTCTCTCCCTCTCCCTCTCATATGTTTTTCTAGAGAATACGGCTTTCCCAATCTAAAATATAATAATAAGATTGGATGAATATTATAAAATCATATACACTGTTTTGTTATTTATTTATCTTGGTTTTATTTAAAATTTTCACATCACAAAGTAATTACATTCACTTAAAGAACGATAACTTAAATTCTTCTCCCTTCTGGAAAATAAAATCGGCATGATTATAAAGATATTCAATACTCTAAATTAAAAATAAATATTGTGAACCCATTTGTACATTTTCAAATATGAGGGGCCTAAGTGTAACTTTCCCTATTTAAAACTAAGGGAATATTGGTACTTTTCATTAAAAGGGATCAATTACATACTGAATACATAAATTAGAGATGACTTTGCCATGACACAAACGTTAGAGAATTTGCAAACTGAAAGCAAAAGCGAGGGACCTTTGGGCCAAATTCCCATTCTGTTAATAATATTCATTGTTTCTAACTTTGTATCATTATATTTATTAGTTTTTTCTTGCGAGCCATAAGAATTAGAAAATAATAAAGAGGCAGGATAACTCTAACGTGCCTGAAGATGCCCAAGAACTTGCATCTTTCACCGCGTGAGTCTAAGAGTCACATTAATTTTGTTGCGTTGGGAGGTTGCTTAAAAAAGAGCCAAAATATAAAAGGAAAAGATGCTATTGTTAATAGTGGAAAGATAATTTGGGGGAAAATTTAAATCAAATCCAGCACTGTTCTATATATTAACATGTTATGTTGCCTTTTGTGTATGTGATGAGGATCTCTTGAGAGGAAAAATTACGAGTCTGACATTTGGGGAGCTTTCTTGTTCTTTTTGTGGTCTGTAGAAAGAGTAGAAATTGAAGATATGGTATGATTTGAATTTATTTTTGTACGATATTTGGGGTTTGGGATGGCAAGAACTTTTATATGATTATACAATTTTTTCGAATAGTGTATAATTTTATTTTATTTTTCGTTTTTAGATTTTTTATTATCTCATTAATGATTTTATCCGAAAACGACACCATAGGCAAAATTATGGGATTGGTCTCAATTCCCAAAAGGTGGCATCGGAGCATTAGGTTATTCAAAGTGTTGAAATAGGAAAAATATGTTAGGTGACGTGGAGAAATTTGATGAAGAAATCATTTTTGGCTATTGGAAGGTAAAAGTCAATCATATTTTGATTCAATATGGAATGCACACAGCTTTGAAACCCATGTTTTCATCAAGTGTGAACAACCAAGTTACGTCAAGAAAAATGTGCAAAGGTGGAGCATAAT